AGGGGACATTTTGCACCCCTCCCCCCATCATGAATCCTCCTGCCCTCTCCCTTTTAGGAATACCTGGATGTTTATCTGTCTGTGAAAAGGAAAAAAAAAAAAAACCAGCTTTGGGCGGAGGGGTGAATTAGTGTGTGATTTAGAGCTGCATTGTTTAACCACTGAATAAATAGACATTAGGGACGGTTTGAGCGATAGATGGAGTAAAACAAAGTTGTTTCTTATTAACTGGGCAGCAGATTTTAAAAAGTAGAAATGTTATTTTTGATACAAGTATTTGTAAAAGCTGCAGTGAGCTCATACGGAGATAAGTACCCTCTCACATTCTGGGGGAACAAAACATATTCATAGGAAGGGAGGGGCGGAGGGATATTACTGCTTATTTTTAATATTGTTGTGTACTATTATTCAGATTGAAAAGCTGATGCTACTAAAGTTGCAGATCTAAATGTGCGTACCTGGGATAAAATCTGTGGAACTTGGGCATCCTGCTGAGCAGAAAAGTGTAGGACTGAACTATAGAACTGCTTTCACTAACTGATTTTCTTTAGGATTTTGATAACCTAATGACAACTATTTTAGTCAAGTGAGGTTGATAGTAAATTCCTCTGAACTGAGTGGGCTTGCAAATAAGCATATATGTATAGGATTGAATTAAGTATTTTATACACCTATTAGCCAATTATATAGTTTGCTTGACAGATGTATGCCAGATGTAATATTTGGGAAGGGGAAAATTAAATGACATAATTGGTGTCAAATATCCCCTCCCCATTGTCATTATATTTCTGATTATTTGGTTTTCCTCTTAACGTGTTATCTAAAGATGTTTAAAAACAACATGTAGAGAAGCTAATAGATAATCACAAGTATCTTAACTTACTAAGTTAAACTTTTCCATCATGTTTAGATATGCCTGTTCATTTTTCTATTAGCAAAATTCTATGTTTATTTCCCCCAGGTTTTAAGAATGGCTAGAAAACATGAACATTTTGGATTAAGTTATTTGGAAGAACTGATCATAGTTAAGGAGCGTGAAAATATATGCAAAGAATCTAGGCGGGAATTTTTGAAGTTTAAGCAAGAACTAGTTTCTGACTGTAGAAATGTAAACAAAGCTTTACTGGAAGTTACAGCATCAGGTCAGTCACCTCAGATACAGTCTAAAACTAGGTCTCCCTCTCTACGTTCTGGAAACAAACATCTTTCTCCTGAATGGGATACTTCTACAGTCCAGAAAAAAGTAAGGATTCCTTCTGATATAATAGAAGAAACCATCCAGACTGAAGATACTGGAAATCAGCCAAAGAAATCTCCTAAGAAGCAGAACAGTCTTGATGATAAAAAAAAGACCTTTCATTCTGGAAAAGCCATCCTAGAACATACAACTGGGAGCCCAGGAGATGAAGCTGAAAAAATGCCAGTATTAATAGCCTCTTTAGCAGGAACTACCAAACAACTGACTATATTGAAAAAACCAGAATCGCTGAAACCAAAATCTCCAAAGTTTCCTTGTGCAAAATTACTGTTTAAAACTCCCCTTTCTATGACAAAAGACAGCATTACTACTATTAAACAACTGGAACAAAAAATACTGTCCCAGCATGTAATTCCTCCCATAGCAAGGGCCAGCGCTGCAGACATTGATGATACCTGTTCTGTGATTTCTGGTTCAACTGAAAAATCTATGAACATTTCTGAAGAAGTCTCAGAACCGAATATACTCAGTGGCATAGAAAGATCATACAGTAAAAAAAGTAGTGGCTCATCTAGTAGGAAGTCTGTTTCAGAATGTCTGGAAGAAACTCTATCTGAAAGTAGAGTAGGCCCCTCAAAATCACTTTTGAAATCTTTTTCTTTTTGCAAGTCACAAGCAAATCTTTCCATTTCAAAGTTCCCTTCTGGAATTGTTTCACGATCTATTGATGAAATAATTGAATCTTTAAAGTCTACTGTTCCCACTCCATCAGACCTAAGGATCAAAGAACTCCTGGAGAGTCTTGGCCAGGACTATCTCATAAAAATTCAAGTAGGTAAACTAGAATGAGTTAAACAAGCTTGGGTTAGTAAAATTCTCTTTTACTAAAATTGATTTTAAAAAATAATGTGTTATAATACAGTATTTTGACAAAAGTAATAAATTTTGCCATTATTTTCTGCTGGCTGTTGATGGTTAGTAGTAACATTGACCACATTTAAATGCATTCTCCTTTTGTAAGGATTTCTCTAGCTAAAGAGATATATAGGTTGGTGATCTACATATACAAAGTATTCTTGTTTCAAGGTCAAGATGTACTAAAATAAGTACAAATAAAAGATAAATAATGCTAAGTCAAAAGCAAACCAAATTACAGCACTGTGTGATGTATGAACTCAACCAATGTAAGTAACTTCATTGTGTTGCTTTGTGACCAACCAAGTCAGCAGTTTCAAAAATGAAGACTTTTTGTTGCATCTTATAATCTAATGAATATATTATGGTTTAAGCTTTCATGGGTATATCCATTTCATCAGACTCATGGAGATTTTTGGTGATTTGTGTGTGTGTGTCTATCTATTCCCACTTGGATGTATAGAAGAATTGTAGATAGCGAGGTCAGAGAAGAAAGTAAATATGGTATTAATTTATTGACAGTGGCCAATCCACATTTAATAGAGGTGTTCTTGCATTGTTGAACTGATTAACACATATAGTGTGATAAAAATTCCTTTAGATTTCAAGTATGAAAGGCTATGAACTCAGACATTAGAGACATAATCATTCATGATTTGCTCTGCCTTTTAAAGGCAATGTTTTTACACTGCCAGTTACAATGAAAGCAGTGCAATAAATCATTATGCAAAGTAAAAAACTGGAGGTGTTAGTAAAATATCAAATGTCCAGTATAAAAACGTTAGGAGAAATATCAACAAAATAAATGAGTCTTCAAGATTTGCTTAAAAACATCCAAAAGGAAGTGGGGAGGGGGGATGGATGTGGATTCCCAGAGTCGCTAGGAGTTGGGCAGCATATAAAATTATTGTGGTTGGTCGCAGTCAGCCAGATGTTTAGACTGGATTTGGTATTTTTGCCACTTATCGAGTCTTTCCCAAGGACCTGGGATAGGCAGATGTTATTGTTTGATGGTGTTAAAGGCATCATCG